CCCCAAAACCCCAAAACCCCTAATAAAAGAGCGATTATTTTTTTAATTTATTAATAGAGAAATGAATATATTGCAAACCATTAATAACTATATTAATCATAGTTCATATATTAACCTGATTATAACTTATTCATCATCATCTTGACATATCTTTTAAAAATATAATTTCTTTTTCAAAACAATTTAATCCCCTCAGATGCCTTGTATGAATCAAATGGATCATCTTATATCCTCAATGACTCTACCCTTTTTCTAGAGATTATTGATTCTCTATAACTCTTAGTAAGAGATCTTCTCTCTGAAATAATCTCATCCCGATCAAATTCATTTGGACTCTTCCAGTTCATAAGCTTAGTTTAATCCATATTTAAAATATGATTGAGTGCAATGTTTAAAGTATCCAAGCAATATCCTAATTTGGTAATATTTTGAACATAAGGTGTTGAAAATGTCTGCATAAACTTAATTTAAGCCATCAAGTTTGGTATATCTGAATTTATGATGATGAAAATATAAATTCCCAGGATTGAATCAGCATCTATTGTTAGCTTGTCTCTATCAATGCTTATGCCTTTCCAAAAAGCATTTATATTTTTCACAATAATTTTTGAAATCCTAAGAATGCATCTCATTTTGTCTAGAGGTGCAGGATAATTTAAAATCTTCCTGAATTCTTGTATTGCAATTTCATATGGTCTAACAGATAATCTCTTCTCTATCTTATTATGCAACAACTATATCATTTCAACCTTAGATCTACTTTTAATCTCATTTTCTAAAAGCTTTTCCTCTTCATCATCCTCTTCGCTTTCCACTGAAGGGTTAAGGATGCTGTAAAAAAGTTCATTATCATCCGTTTAATCTAATCTTAAACTAAAATACTTCTCTGTTTTTTCATCTTCCCCTTGCTTACTCTATTCTGTTAAGAAGGGTTAATAGCTCATCCTTTTCTTTTTGGATTCATCAGTGATTTAAGATTTTCTTTTATGAGTAGAATCCAAATCTTTTATAGTAGGCTTATGATTTTTAGATTTTTTTTAATTACCTGAACTCCCGCCTATGTCTCCATTGCTTATTTCTTGAGCAACTTACTCATTAAATAGATCCATTATGTTGCTAGTTTCATCAAGGCAAAACATTGGATTAAGTCCTAGTTCAATTAATTTTACATTTCTAAATTTATTGATTTGTCTCTATAATCTAATATCTTCTTCCATTGTTATTATTGAGCACACCTGTTAAGAGAAATTTGCTAGTCTTTAACCTTAAACACATTTCATCAGAGTTTCAATCAAGTCCTCTTTCATATTTTCTAATTCTTAGCTCTTAATAACTGTACTGTAGAATCTAATGCAGCATCCATATATTATGCAACTGAAGACTTTGATATCTTACAGAATCATTTTAGCATCTCTGTATATATTCTTTCTAAGTTCAATTAATTTGTTGCTGCTCTTCTTATGCTTTGAAATTCTTGAAATATTTCTATGATGCTGCTGCGATTTTTATTTTCTTGTTTCGTTTTAGAAATTTATTTCAATTCTCTCTGAAAAGTTATCATTTTCTTAATCAAGATATTCATCGAGTAAATTGTTTATTAAAGACTGTTCTATAATTTGTCTCTGAAGAGGATTGATAGATGTTAACTCGAACTAGTCATTTTCCTATTCTGATATAAGATAGAAGTTATCTTCACTTTAATCGGTGATAATTACATTCTTATATTATTTTATGAAGTATTAGGCAAATGTTTAGCATACTACATTCAATGGATTTTATTCATGCATTAACTGATGCTTAATGATGTCAAATAAGGTTTTCATAGGTAGCTCCATAGTTTCCAATAGCTCATTGTCTTTCCTTAAGTCAGATACCTAATAGAGATATCTCTGAAAATTGAATTATGTTCTTAATCTCCATTCTTAACTTTCTTGAAGATCGTTTTTACCGGCATATATATCAGAGAGCTCATCATCTGATTTTGTCTCAACAAAATGCTCAATCTGTATGTTCTCAGGTTGACTTGCTTTGCCCAGCTCATTCAGCTTCTCTACTGATTTTACCGAATATTCAATTACATACTCATTATTATGATCGTTCTCATTCTCCCTATTTACAGTATTTTTCCTACTAGAAACTGTATTTCTCTACTACATTCTTAATACTTCTTTAGACGAATGATCATCATTATTTGTAGTTCCTATATTAGTAGAAATAGGTCTAGAATGTTTTATTTGGCGCGGGCTTGTCATTGATGGCTTGATTGTTTCCATTCTAGCTCTTCCTGGTACAGATTAGAGTTGATTTCCGATTGCTTGTTTTGTATAATTAAGATAGTATATCTAGGATCTAAATTTAGTGGATTGAAAAGTATTCAGGTTTTTCTTGAGATAAATTTTCAAGTTATTAGACCATTGAGTATCTTGAATTTATTTCAAATTTTTCTCCATATATATGATCCAATCCTAAAACATTGAAGGTTAAAAAATTTACATCATTATTTATCAAATTGTCTTTTTGATGAGATATTTTATAGGTTACTTGCACTGTTTTACTTATTAGCCTACTTCTATTAGATTTTCTTCGCTATTTTGAAATATTTGGCTTCTCTATTGCTTTATTTTTTCTTCTAAATATGCCCCAGAAGCTGCAACAGCCTTAAGATTATCTTGGAGCTTATTAATCAAGAAGGCTAACTTTTACATCAGCATTAATAGATGCAGAATTCGATTATTCCAACTTGTTTTTATTATCTTCAGTAGGCTCAATGAGCTATAGCTAGTTCTCAATGTGAAATCGTTTTTATTAGATCCTCAAGTCTTTCAGCATATCAGTCTTTTTCTTTCTTGATATTGCCCTTATCTCCTTTCTGTTATATATTCTTTTGGTACTATGCAAGTTTGTTTCTGAATTGGATCTGTTTAATAGGTGAGCATATTCCTAATTTTGTGGGTTTATATCTAGAGTTTGATAAATACTTCTGTCTCTCTCTTGCTAAATATCCATTATTATGAGAATATTATTAACAAACAAGTTATTACACTATTGAATGAGTATTCAAATTTATTATAAATCTCTATCCTTACTCTCTCGGGGTTTTGGGGTTTTGGGGTTTTGGGG